TTTAATGTGCATTTGTGTCTGTGTTAGCCATTAGCCAGTCCGCGAAACAATTTTAATTTCCCGGTCGGAGGGCGGGAACAGATTGAAGAACACAGTTCTGAGAGAAGAGGCACAGGAGATGGTCACAGACAAGATACTCACTATGAACCGGAGCGGGAGATGAGGGATGTGGTCCAGTCGGTGTGGTGGGCATGCTCTCTCTCCGTCTCTGCTTGCTGTCCTCAGAGAAGGTTCGCTGCAGGCGCCGCAAGCCGCCAGGGGCGCCACCAAAGCTGAGCTCATCTCGACACTTGCGAACCAACGGCGATGGCAACGGTGAGGTGGCAGCGGGGCTAAGGTAGTCCGACTGTGGACACACAAGCGTACACGATACATTATTTAACTGGTTGTAAAGATGCTGTTCATAATAACTGTAGTGGTATAACTTAGGTTATGGAGTTTCTGTTAAAGTGATAGTGACGAGGGCTGTTAGATGATTGTGGTAGGACAGGTGCCATATAGTGCTGCTGGTGTAGATCAGGGCTGTTCATTCAGGTTTGCCCAAGGGCCATAATGTTTAAAATGTGGATTCCCACGGGCTAAACGACCAGGCACTAGCGTAGAAAGGTCACTAATACAACAGAATTACTTGGTGATCCGCGGGCCACTTGCAAGACCTCTGCGGCCCAGATTAGCGCTGGTGTAGATGATGATCGTTGTCACTACGATATAATAGTGCCGTTGATGTAGATGATGATAAAATTGGTAGTGGTTACGTCACTGTGATGATGATAATAATCAAGACTTGTGAAAGCAATTAAGACAACTGACAAGATAATAATGATGCAAGTTTTACCGTAACGGCAGAAGACAAGACATGCTGGGCTTTAAAACGAAAGCGTTTCAGTCAGGAAAGACAATCACGTGACTGTCATGATGTTTATACGGCACGAGAAGAGGCGAATTTTAACTACGCACAAAGAAAACAGATTGATGGGCATATGTTATCAATATAACTAGATAGTATGCCACAAGACAATGCGCCATAGAAACCTCTGTCAATCAGACATAACGGAAACACTAGAGATCGACCACGCAAGCGATGGATTCATGGAATATTCAAAGCCGTTAATAACAACATCTACGCAGCTCATACTAAGGCTCGAACCCGATGCCCTTTCAAATCATAAGGCTCAAAGGCATAACAGGATATGAGGAGGAGGAGGGGAAGAAGAAGACAAAGGAAGAAGAAGAAGGAAGAAGAAGGAAGAAGAAGAAGGGAGAAAAAGAAGGAAGAAGAAGAAGGTAGAAGAAGAAGGAAGAAGAAGAAGGAAGAAGAAAGAAAGAAGAGGAAGAAGGAAGAAGAAGAAGAAAGAAGAAGAAGAAAGAAAAAGAAGAAGGAAGAAGGAGAAGAAAGAACAAGAAAGAAGAAGAAGGAAGAAGAAGAAGAGAAAGAAGGAGGACTAGAAGGAGGAGTAGGAGAAAGAAGAAGAAGAAGAAGAAGCCACCGCCAAGAAGAAGAAGAAGAGAAGAAGAAGAAGAAGAAGAAGAAGAAGAAGAAGAAGAAGAAAAAGAAGAAGAAGAAGAAAGAAGAAGCAAAAAGAGACAGAAGAAAAAAAGAAGAGAAGAAGAAGAAGAACTAAGAAAGAAGAAGAAGAAGAGAGAAAAGAAGAAAGAACCTCCTCCTCACTCCTCAGAAGAAGAAGAAGAAGAAAGGAAGGAAGAAGAAGAAGAAGAGAGGAAGAGAGAGAAGAAGAAGAAGAAGAAGAAGAAGAAGAAGAAGAAGAAGAAGAAGAAGAAGACTCAGTCTATCGTTGATTTCTACCTGTAGTTTGTCACTGCTGTCGTATACCGAGACAACCATAGTCCAAGCCCTCTGCAATGTTACTGGGCCAGTAAATCGAGGAACTGGTCAGATATTGGATGGGGGTAGTTATCGTTTGTGTACCTGCTGTATTTGGGAGCCGCAGTGGTATAGTGGCTAGAAGCTCGCCTGCAGAACCAAAGAACGTAGGTTCAGGTCTTTAAGAAACATCACTTTTTTTCTTCAGAAACGACTTTTACTTCCAGGTCGACTCAGCCTTAAATGGGTACCAGGTAAAGTAGTCATGGGAAGTAAAGGTGGTCAGCGTGATGATGACCATTTCACCCACTGTATGGAGACTAGCTGATAAATTATAGATTTAGCTCTACATACCCGATACGCCCGAAGGCGTGGAGCAGGGTACTTTACTCTACTTACTGTATCTGTGGAGAACAGTTGTGTAACAGATAACAGTAGAGCGAACACAGGATAGTTTATACTAACCCTGGTAGCGACAATAGAGTAACTAGCAGGCAGACAATGACAGTGGTGATGGCGGCGATGATGATGAACGATGATGAAGGTGGTGGCATGCGTTTTGGTGTTGGCAGTGTCTGTGACATACTGATGATGGTGATTGCAAAAACAAGTTATTGCTGCTGATGCTGCTGTGCTGAAGTGGGAGGGTGGTGACGATGATGACAGTAGCTATCGTAAATTGGTTGATAACGATGAATCATGTAATGACATAACATATGCATCGCTACTGTTTTCATAATCAATTCAATAAAGCACTGGTCATAAAATAATATTCATTCACAGGAAACATTTCAAGAAATTTAGTCTCTCGAAATCGATGGAAATCACCAAACATACAAACGAGAGCGCCAACTCGCTATTCACTGCAATGATTCTCTCACTCACACATTTACACATTTACTCACTCACCCACTACTTCGCACATTCACTCACTCACTCAGACACTCACTTACTCAGTCACTCACTCACTCGCACACATTATCACAACGAACAAACATGAAACCTATGATAGCTCTTTCGGTACTAGCCAGTAGTTAACTAAGTTATAAATCGACTCATGATGTGATGTCCCTTGGGACACCAAGAATTACAGATTTGATATACGCTATTAAGAGGCAAAATCGAGGCAGCGAAGAATACAGTTAACGAACATCTTAACATATTTGGAAACCTACATTCAACTTGGTGTAAACTTCAAAGATTTCCTAGTTAGTATGTCAGATCCAGCGGCGTTCGTGGCTTAAGCGTTACGAGTCCAACTCGTAATTCTAAAGTACCGCGATTGAAACCCACTGCTGGCTGCGTGGATGTGTATCATGGTATGGGGCGTCGCAGGTCGACACGGCCCAAAATGGATGTATGTCCTAGGGAAGTAAAGAGGGCCGGCGTAATGCTGACCAAATTACCCACCTAGGGCCGATTGGTCTGTAAAAATATGGGGCTCTTCCAAAATGCCCGATGCACCTAAATGCGGGAAAAGGTATCTTTACTTTACTTTGACTTTTATGTCAGCTCCACCTGCAGTTAGCATTCATATCATTACTAACGACATCATAACACTCGAGATATTCCTATAAGCGCTCAGTCTCCATCTTCGACAGAATGAGTTCTAATTTCGATGGTACCATTAACAATCTGACTGTATGTGAGTCTTGCCCCTCCCTTGACAGTTGAGCGTCGGCGAAATGCCCTGGTCATTAGTCGCGGCACCATTCACTTCAGATGGCAAACTACTAAACGTACATTTTCCTAGAAAAACCACAACACCCAAAAAATGCTGTGGCTGGTTCTGCAATGTCATGTAAAGGATGCGCAACTAACTTTTAACAAAGAATGCATTGTGTCTTTTAGATACAATTCTGAAGAAAAAAATTCTTCAAAGAAAAATGTCGCTGAAAAATATAAATTCGACTTACGAACTAATATCGAGAGAGGAACTCAATCGTAAGTTGTTTCTTTATTTGAAATAATATAGAATGTATAAACAATTACTATAAAGAAATTACTTAAGTTTCACCTAACCAGGATATCACACAGAGCGATAAACAACTGGTGACACAAGTGCCACCACTCGGATGAGGATCATCCATATAGAGGTCCGGTCCCGGAAACCCCGTTAAACCGTTAGGATCATATATTAGGGCAACAGCCAGGGGTGGGGCTTCCAAAAAAATTAAATAAAACGAAAAACTGCATTCCACATGGGGACGATGAATATATATTTGCTTTAAAAAAATTCTCAGGGGGGGGGGGGGGGGGGGGGGGTGGTCCAATGAGCCTCCTACTAGATTTTAAGAGAAAAGTAGTGCCGGTGGGGTTAGGGGGGGGGGGGGCCTTAACCCTTAACCCTTTCAGGGGAGTTTAACGGCTGGAGATTATGGCGCCCCTGGGACACATTTATTATTCGCCATATGTATTACCTTGGTGCTAACAGTGTAAACATATACAATTATGCCACCGTGACATTTGTTTTCCCTGTTCAGCGGAAACAATTAAACATGTAATTATCACATGTCAGATCCGGGAGTGGCTCTATCTGAAATCACTGTCAGAAGTGCAAACGTACTGGCAGATATGGATTTAAAAACAACAAAAAAAGCATAATTTAGCAGGTTGCCGTCTTTGTATTTATCACACGTTAGAAATGTAGTTACAGTTAAAATAAGAAAGAAAGAAAGAAAGAAAGAAAGAAAGAAAGAAAGAAAGCAAGCAAGCAAGCAAGCAAGCAAGCAAGCAAGCAAGCAAGCAAGCAAGCAAGAAAGAAAGAAAGAAAGAAAGAAAGAAAGAAAGAAAGAAAGAAAGAAAGAAAGAAAGAAAGAAAGAAAGAAAGAAAGAAAGAAAGAAAGAAAGAAAGAAAGAAGAAAGAAAGAAGAAAAAGAAAAGAAAGAAAGAAAGAAAGAAAGAAAGAAAGAAAGAAAGAAAGAAAGAAAGAAAGAAAGAAAGAAAGAAAGAAAGAAAGAAAGAACTGAAGGAGGATATTCTCAAAGAAATGTTACAAATATTGTTAACATTAAAATAAGAATGAAAGCAAGCAAGAAAGCAAGAAAGAAAGCAAGAAAGAAGGTAAAAGAAAGAAAGAAAGAAAGAAAGAAAGAAAGAAAGAAAGAAAGAAAGAAAGAAAGAAAGAAAGAAAGAAAGAAAGAAAGAAAGAAAGAAAGAAAGAAAGAAAGAAAGAAGTAGGATGAGGATGAGAAGAAGGAGAATGTGGATAATAAGAAGGAGACGGTGGAAAATAAGAAGCAGCAGGAAGAGAACGCAGCGAAGGAGCAGGAAGAGAACGCAGCGAAGGAGCAGGAAGAGAACGCAGCGAAGGAGCAGGAAGAGAACGCAGCGAAGGAGCAGGAAGCGGAGAAAGGGGAGACTGAGACCAGATGAAGAAATCTGCATGTGGCATGTTTTACAGTTGTTAATTGGGAAAGGGGTATCAATTTACCACGTGCTTATTTCTAACTTTCACTTTGATATTCTTAAAGTTAACAGAATTCCGGAACCTATACCTAACTCGTGTTGTATCTGTGGCCCGG